TTCCGGAGGAGAGGGGCAGGAGGGGGGGAGATACACACGTAGTCGCAGAAAGGAAATAAAGGTCTGAGGATTGCAGGTTGAGAGAAGAGGAAAGGGGACCTAACATGAAAGGAGACTGCAATGTTTTTAGGGGGGCAGTAGACTTAGCCGTCCAGTAGTCCAGTACTTGATCTGAATGCAATAATGATGAATGCACGGGTAGGTGTTTTTCGCATGCATACATGTATGTATACAAACATACAACACACAAACACATGCATGTCCGTTCACTAACACCCCTTTACTCTTAGGCAAGGTGCCTGTCATTTCCCTCTGTGGAATCACGTAAAAGGAGACTATTTTATTCCCACTTTGGGGAAACTTCTAACTTCTGTTCCTGTTTACAGACTATTTTTAAGGTAAATGTATACCTGGTGTCCCAATCTCCTATCCACTGTGGTTGTTTTCCTTTTTTTTATTCTCTTCTTCCTTGTGCCTACTCTGCCCCCCCCTCCACGCCCCCCCCCCCCCTCCAATCCTGTCGTCAGTCTAGCATAGAAAAACACACACTGAAATTTGGAAATAAATTAACTTACCTTGGGTAGAAAGTCCTTGTTGAATATACATAACTGAAAAGAAAATGAATCCAACATAAGCTAGAAAGATCCCCATCATTCCAAGATGAAGAAGAAGTCACATCAGGGTAAAAAAAATAACCAAAGATACCCTCAAAAAAGAAAGAATTGGTATATGAATATATGTATATATCTTTAGATATACAAACAGAAAGAGATTTTAAAGTCTTACAAAAAGACTCTGTATTGTAGCCCTAGCTGTGACACTAGCAGCATTCTGCTACTCAGTGGAGTCTTTTCTTTGGGAAGAGCGAGTATTGCAATACAGCGTGGTCCAGATGAGCTGTCTCAGGCGCTGTGTTGCTTGAAGTCCAGATTCAGAAGAGAAAAAAATAAAACAACACAACAGAACAACGAAAAAACCAAACCAAAAAACACCAACACCTAACAAAAAAACAACAACAACAAAAAACACCAGCCGTTGAAAAGCGGGTATCAGCTGCCTTCTGTGCCTTTTTTTTTCAGCTACCTGGCAGCTTCATCCAACGTCAGCTCCTGCTGCTCAGGGTGGCGTGATGACTGTCCTCCCTACACACTGATCCAGCTGGTGAAGAGAGGAGTGGGGGAAAGAGAGGTGGGGGGGGGTTGGGTGG